CACGGACCTTCATGAACAGGGAATCGGGTATGGTGCTCGCGATGAGCTGCTTGACGATGGCCTCCCCCTTTTTCCACGCCGGCCAATTCGAGCTGGTATGCCGCATGCGCAGGGTCCGGCACCGTGCCTGGACCCGGAGTGACACCAATGGGGGCCGTAGCCACTGTCCCGCCGCCGGTCGTGGCAGCGGCGTCTACTCCCCCTCCAGCAGCGGTGGGGGTCGCGGCCACACCTGTAGCCGTGCCTCCCACTGGAGCCGTGGTGTTTGTCCCCGCCGAAGAGGGCGGTGCAACAGGTTCGGCGGACGTACCGTCGAGATGTCCGACAAGTCCCTTCGCGTCGGCCGCCCACGTAAGGCGCTCCTTGTAGAGGACCCAGTTCGAGCCGCCGACGTCGAGCTTCGGTACGCGCACGTAGTCGTCGCCAAGTTTCACGGAGGACATGTTGAGGGATTAGATTGGGGGGTAAGGTAGGTCTTCGAGGATTAGTCCGCCTAGAAGGCAGGGCTCATAACCTATAGAATAGCACTCAGTACGCGGTATGCGGGACTGATATATTACTAATGTAAGTACCTATAGAATAGCACTACAGTACGACATCAGTGGAGTCCAGCGGGGAGACTATATGGGCGGCTCACCTCAGTACGCGGTATGCGGGACTGAGGTGAGCGGGTACAGGTCCGACAGCTTATATAGAGTAAGTAAGTAATGTAATCACCGTATCGTAAGGGTCCGCAAATGGGCCGCGCCACAGGGCGCATCAATCCCGATGGTGTTCCGTAGCCGCGCAGTGTCGCACGAGGCTTGCGACGGGATCGCGCTACAATCGCGCCATTCCAACACAGTCAGCTTGTGACTATGCTACTTAGACTGACGGCTATCAGCCCTATGATCCCGTTAATCATCTCCTAGACTACATTCTCCAGGTATCGCTCCAGGCATCACATGCAGTGTACTCCGAGTGCAAAACTGATAGACGTCACAAGGAATCAAATGCAGAAGTAGCCATTGCATCAACCAAGGACCTTCTGCCCCTCGTCATTCTCCGGGAGCGGTATTGGGGAATGCTCTAATGCCATTTATTTGTAGGAAGTCGGGCTTATCGATGATGTTTCTACGGCATTATTAAAGTGGTCACCGCCGATCACGGTGTATGAGGAAGGCTGTAAGCAATCTGTTGCAGTATCCGATGTAACGGCTAAAATAGATTTTTGCAGTTGGAATGGTATCACCAAGAGCTCTCCAAGGAGAAACTGTCCCAGACGATACCATGCACTTCGAGGCTGCTTTCACTCGAGTCCTTCCACGTACGTACTTTCATCCCTTAGCTTATCTTGATCAGTGGCATGACGGGCAATTCAATCCATAGCAGCATCTCCTGGTTGTACTGAGCCCTCGGTGCTGCTTGATAGTCATGTCAATGCGAGCGCTGGCTACATCCGCTGCGCTGCTCCTCCTTGGACAGTCTACACCAAGGAGTTATACCGTCATGGCTGGGGCCTACCCCTCTGGTTTCCTCAGGCGGGTGCACACGAGCCATCGATCGGGGATGTAGGTTGCCTCATCGAGGGTCGCTTCGAGACTTTCTTTAACAGCACCAGACACCCAAATGACACCGTACACCAGCCGAAGGGCGTGCCTGCAGAATTTGAGCCGCTGTACTCCGACCCTTCCCGTCACACACAGGACGAACTTGGCCGCTTCCAACATGTATTAGGTCGCAACATGAAGCGATCTAGAGAGAGACTTTTCTCCACTAGCAGGTGAATTAACTTCGTATGTTGTTTCAAGTGCTAACTCGAAGCGTAGAGTGGATCCGAACAACGCTCTCTCCAAGACAGACTTAGACTTCACCTTCGCTGGCGACACTGGGGCCTTGCTGGTACTTCCTGCCGATGTTCACAGAGAGGCCATTGTGGCACATGGACGGATCATCAGATACATTATTAAACACTCCTCTAGCTGGCGCACCTTTGCTCACTCCTTAGATTATGAATTTGCCGAGGAGGATATTGTATTTGTCTCAGGCACCACCAAGGCAAGAACATTCGGAATGGCAGTTTTCCAGGATTCCACACTCGGTACGGACAGAGATGCGGGAACAGCGTCCATAGAGACAGATGGGCCCATCGTCTCTGATTTCTCTGTCACACTCTCCGGCCGACCACTACGCCACGAATGCATTAGCTATTATCCATCAAACGTGGCGAGTCGCGACTGCTCACAGCGGTACCAATGGTTCCCCCCACTCCCCCACACCCGCTGAGCGTACCCTTTTCGTCAACTACTATCGAATGAAACGCCGCCGAGTACTGAAACTTGTCAAGCTGTTGAAGCCGATCAAGGTTCCGATGGACGTCACGGGCGCATCGCGTCTCTTGGAGGGTCGCGATGATGATGATGATGATGATGACGACGACGACAAAGGTGGCGCCGCCGTATGAAGCCTGGATCCAGGGCACTCTAGTGACGACGATGAGCCATCACTCAAGAGGCACATGGTGGTATGGAAATAAGTGGTAGTGGCGAGAATCCATATACACCAATCTTTGTGTTCAGACGTGTGACCCTGTCTGCAATCTTCTCGACTACATCCTTCAGGTGTGTCCAAAGGCCTACATATGGATTGGTAAAAAATGACGAGCTCCACATATGCTAGAATTCCGACGCCAGAGTTGCCATCGCCTCCGACTTGGACTTGATCTCCATCTTTCACGGTAAAATGTCTATCACATCATTCAAGCGCATACATTGACTTTGCTCACAGAATCGCCAGTTCCCTGACTTAGAGGACATCACAGCAAGCATTGCGGAGATATCGCCTGCTATTGAGGTTGACGACGAAGGAGGTTAGTGCCACATTATTGAATGCACGACGATTCTCCATTCCCACAATATGTAGTTGGCACCATACGCGCGGACCATTTCACCCAATTTGGCTACGGCATCAGTGAGTTCAGTACAGTGGACAACACCAAGTGTCCATTCACGGGATTAGCAGACCCGCATCATGCTCGTTGTTGCGAATCAATGCAGGAAGGGCCATTCAGAGCAGCCCAATGTGGTGAGGTTCATGTTGTCAAACGATGTATCATATGATTGTTAAAATCTGACTCAGAAGGCACTGGAAACGACGTTCGTAGCCTCGGCCAACCGAATCCAGATACCATTCACCTAGGCCTGAGCAATGCTGCCGAGGCTGAAGTCCACGATGTCCTTAGCGACTTGCGACGCTTCTCCACTACATACAAGAGACGATTTGTTCTTGTCCCTGAGCTCATCCCTGAAGCACTGGAGCTGCTTTCATCAAGCCAAGCTCCCCCAATCAATCCAGTGACGGAGCGCGTCATCCGGAACGAGTGCAATACAACCGCTTGCAGTCGAGCAGTCGGGGAACCGCGAACAGCCTCTAACGGAGCCGTTTCAATGACTCTCGGCGTCCATCTTCCTCATGGGCGACTTGCAACCTCGGGTGGAATAGAGACAACATGCACTGTCGAAGAAGTCATCAACCTGAAACATGGTAAGCGACATCGATTCATGTGATGCAGATAATACCTCACGACGAGAATGGTTGAAGATTATCGCCGCATGGTAGATCTGTTGACGGGTATAGAACGGAAGCAGCAGCTCTGGGTGGCTGCTGGTGTACCGATGCGATGGGTCTTGGCGGCTTCCTAGTGCATGTCTCAACCTCTGAATGAAGTCCGGCGTGTGTGAAGGTATGCCTCTAATTCACTCCCGGCTACAATTTAGTACTCATTCTGTGTGTTAGATTAAGGGGATACGAGATGATTGCGTTGCTGTACTACGATGCATTGTATGAATATGAGGGATCTGAAGAGTGTGGAATCGCTATCTACAACATGAGCGCAATAGTCCCGCCTGATCCACTCGGAATTACTAGTCTCATTAGTGTAAGACAAGGGCCACCAGAACTGGATCAGAATATGTGTCCTGCCAGATAATCATGCCGATCATTTAGATATCACAAATCTCGTCGCTTTCGCCTAGAGAGCAGAAGACGTAGATGGCGCGAAATGCACGAAACCACGATGGGAGAATTGGGTCGTGCGCGAGAGCCAGGACGGAATTGGTCCTTCTATTGGTAGTGTCAAGCGACTATACGGTTTTTCAGAAGAAGCAATGCATAAACACAGGAGATAACGCAACAACGGATGCTACATATCGACAGGCGCACTGTGACTGTTACAATGAGCACATCATACAGAGGGACGCACACCTCGTTACCTACTACAACAGCTCCCCACCCCCACTAGGCTCTGAATCGTCTGCGAACCCGACCTCGCTTCTCCCTCACCCTCACCCACGTCCCCATCCCCATCCACTTCACCATGCTCCGGCGCACACCCCGTACACCCCTCCCCACACGCACACTGCCCCTCGGGACACCCACAGCCTCCAGGACAGCTACACTGCAGCTTCGGCACCTCGACCAGCCCAAACAGTGAACGCCGCTCCGCGTCACCACCTTCGAAGATGCTCTTGGGGTACACGAGCACGTTCGTCGGGTCGAGCGCGCCCGCACGCGTGCGTCCAGGCGGAGGCAAGGGAAGCGATGCAGCGGTCGCTAAGAACGCGTCGATGTAGCTCACGCTGTCCCCGCGCGCCCGTCGGGCAGACGTCGGGGAGTTGTACGTGCCCGACGTTGAGCTCGAGCCCGCTACAAGGGCAGGAGGAGACACGGCACCTTGCTGAACCGCGCTCGCGCCCGAAGAGGTGTGCCCGTATCGGCCCTGGGAGAACGCGAGGGCGTGCTCGGGCAGCGCGACGCCGCCGTCGTGGTCGACGCACGTCCTGCACTCGCCCTCTTCGCAGTCCAGGATGTCCTTCGCGGCGTGCTCGCTCCCACGGTGCTGGACGCACCCCGGACAGGCGCACTGGACCCCACAGCAGCACCCGCTGTCCGCGATGAAGGCGGACGCGCTGGGCAGATGGATCGCGGGGAACACTGGAGGCGCACTGTATGTTGTGTGGGCGTGGCTGAATGACGATGCATATACAGGGGTAGATGATGCTGAGCAACACCTTGGAGCACGGGGGATGTGTTGATCGGAAAGGGCAGGGGTGGTGCCAGAGCGTTTAGTGCGCTTCGGTGTAGGCGAGGGTGGGCGAGAGACAGTAGAACAACAACTGCGCTTCTGGCTACTGAACATATCCTCCGTGGGACCCGCAGTTGTGCGAGGCTCCGAAGAATTTGACGGGACCCTAGATGTCGACGTTGATGCTGAAGGTAAATCGTCGCCGCAGCAGAACAGCGCAGCCTGCGCGAGCGCTGCGAGTCCGCCGTTGTCGGTCCGCATAGATGGGCCTTGGTCGTGGGCACAGGTGCAGATGCTCGCGTCCTTGCCGCCGCAGCGACACAAATTCAGGCAGGCATCAGGGAGCGTGTCCTGAGTTGGGACATCCTTCAGGCCGTTAGGCAACGCCGGCGCGATGGGCTTGAACCTCCGTGCTAACAAATCAGCGGGTCAGCCTTGCATGAGCAGGCTGTGCATACAGACGAAAGAGAGGAGCAGAAATCATTGACGACTTCCGCGATGAAGTACATAAGTAGGTTGAACTTCAAGGACTTGATGAAGTGCACGAACGGGCCTTGCGGTCAAACAAGATGAGCGAAGCGACGTACATTTAGACTTCGACATGGGCCCGTCGGCCGAGCCGGCAGCTTTCGCTTCCAACAATGTCCCAGGCACCGAGCTTGAGGAGCATGTGCACTTGCCGTGCATCCGCTTCGTCTTCCGTAGCTCCCTGCACTTGTCACATTGGGACACCGGTCTGCCCTTCTTCTTCACCTCGAAGAGCGGCCGATCCGCATGCTGACAGCCGGACGAGCGGTGCCCCTTAATGCAGGACTCACTTCGGGCTAGATTGAGCAACGCAGCTTCCCTGAGCACACATGGATCTCGACACACCAGGCAAACTTCTTGTCGTTGACATAGACCTGTGGGAGGTAAGCCAGCGCCCAAAGCCGGGAGGATATGCCGATAATTGGCACGCACCATCGAATGAGCATGTAACGTCGGTGTTATACAGGGTAAACTTTAGATCCGCTCCTCCAGCTCGACCTCGATAAGCATTGTGAGTGGGCACATGGGGGACACAGTGTCACCACGGAGACATACACAAGACGAGAGGCCAAAGATGGTGTGCGATATACCAAACTACCTGATTCCCTCGTGAGAAGTCCGTCGCGGAGCACAGCGGTGCAGCGTTCTCTCGTCCCAAGTAGGCGGACTGATTTGGGTTGAGACTGAATTGTGTGCAGAACACAGAGAGAGGGTGGCTCTAGACCTGAGCTGGCTAGAGAGGAGGCTGAGGGAGGGGAGAGGGTAAGCGTGATGGGAGGAAAGAACGGTATAAGTGAGACACTCGAGGTCTTGGCCGGGACCGTCCCATGCGCCCGGCGCTGCGATCTCTGGGCCGGATGCCAGCATGTCACACGCTGATGACTGGTGCGGTCATCGGGTCACAGTTCCCCTGTCACGCGCATCTCGATCCCATCCTCCAAGGTCGGGGCAATATGCAGTGAGCGCCCATCGAGCTCACCTCTGCGCCTCTGAGCGGGAACACAAGCTTGAGCCACATACAGTCGACACCCTCTTAACCCATAGCCCTCGGGACAGGCCCAAATATATGGGTTTTGAGGGGTTATGGGCTACCAGAACTTTAGCGCCTTCTAAGCGCCCTGATAAGTCCCAGTTAGCGAGCGCTGAACAGGCGTCTACTGACCCTTCGAGGGAGCGCTATGGGATTTCGAACACACTAACCTACCCACAACGTGGTTGAAGCATGGATGGATGCTGGGAGGACACTAGGAAGCATGTATTGAGTACTTTGTGGGTTATTGATGAGCGAAATCTCAATGTGACCACTATTACCGTATGGGATTTGAGCCCTAGAAGGCTATGGGTTATGGGGTATTGGGGACCTATGGGTTATGGGGTCGAATTCCCCCTATCCCGACTTGGGAAAGCCAAAATCCTATGGGTTTTTAGAGTTTATGGGTTACCAGGGGTATGGGTTAGGAGGGTGTCGACTGTATTCCCTCCCGATCATTTTAGGTGAAAGCGTTGCAAGGTAGGCACATCAAGTGCGGACAACGATAAAGACCGTTTCAAACGCAGTCCTGAACACAGGCACGCCACACGATCACTGCGACTTAGGATTGACCTTCTCGTCGTGGGCGTCCATGCCATTGCAAGGCGGCTCGCTGGAGAACGGCATGTCGAACGATTACGGCTCTATAACTGCATGCGTCGGGATATATTGCGACAGCACAATACATGATACGATCCGCGTCCACCTCATGGTACTAAAACCGCTGCCACGCCCTAGTGGCGCGATAGTTCGCTCTTCTAGCCAGCCAGACGGGGCCAATGTGCCTCAGATACCCACGCGTCGTCTGGGCGTCGCCGTGACGCGCGCACCAGCCCCAACACCGCTGTTACGGGGGGTTCCAGGGACGATGATTTTGGAGCTGCTACTCGACGACGTCTTCGCCGCAAGTGCCTCCTCTTGCGCCTTTTTCGCGCTCCTGTCGCAGATAAAGCGAGCGAGCGATATCAGCCATTGGTCTGCGCCAGACGCACTAGAGCGCAGATGGATAGGAACTCACTCCTCTCTCTGCCGCGCCATCTCCGTCTCGAGCTCTGCCCTCTTGGAGAACTCGCGGTCGGCCTTCCGTCGGTTCCCACGCTCATCGAAGTTCTTCTCCTTTACAGAGTAGAAGACGGACCCGAGCTCGGCTGCACACGTCGCGTGAGGATGGAAGTCTTATGCCAATAGGAAAGGACGCACCAAGCCAGTAAGCATCGACGGCCGTGACTTGGGTCATGTACTCCTTGGACGTCAGAATTAGCTCGTGATAAACGACGTATGTTGGCGTGTCTAGAGAAGGAGCAGTCATGAGACGACAAGTGACGGCATGTTCTAGCTCGACACTCACAGCCTAAGCCATACAGCGCACTTGTCGGGTGCAAGTGTGTGGGAAGACCCGTGCGGATGTTGACAAACTCCCCAATGCCCTTCACACGCGCGGCCTGGTGGAAGTACCCAGCAGTGATCGCCTTCCTGTAAGTATGCCGTCAGCGTTCACTCGTTCTGAGTTCGAATACAGCGCGATTGCGATAGGAGGCGAGGCGAAGCGCGAAGGCTTACTCAGGACAGAATGGGTTTCAGGAGTACGCACCGGATGATGTCGAAGTCTGTCCCAGCAGAAATGAGCTCCATCTTCTGGAACTTCATGATGTCCTCCAGCTGCGCGCGGACCTCGCGCGCCTTCCTCAACAGTTTCGGGTGTAAGAAGTGACGCAAGGCCCAATCGTCCCGGAACCCGTGTGACTTCCACTGGTTGAACACGTTCAGCAGTGTGAGGTGGTCACTCTCAGGTACGTTGAACTTCTCCCGGGCCGCGTCCGCCTCCTCCATGCGCTCCTTTGGTCGGTAGAAGACGCTCGGCACGGAGAGCATTGACACGATAGTGAGCATCTCGGCGGAGCATCTGTACTCGACCGACTGGATGAGCATCTTCGCCATGCTCGGTTCCATCGGGAACTCGCTCATCTTCCGCCCGATGGGTGTCAGGTCGCCGACGTTGTCCAGGGCACCAAGCACCCAGAGCTGGTACATCGAGTTGAGCATGTTCGCCTGTGGAGGTGGGTCCATGAAGTCGAATTCGAGGAGGTTCTTGACGCCGAGAGATTTCAGCAGGAGTACCGTGTTCGCCAAGTTCGTCCGCTGGATCTCTGGGATGTTGTTAGAGAACATCTCATTCCGGAACGCCATCTCGGTGTAGAGGCGGTAACAGAACCCGCTCCCGGTACGTCCGGCACGACCAGTCCGTTGGTTGGCATTCGCCTGACTGATAGGGGTAATCTGGAGGGCGTCCATACCCACCTTCGGATTGTACACCTTGAGTTTCGAGTACCCAGCGTCAACCACGTACAAGATACCGTCAACTGCAGCATGGCGTAAGAAGCTATGCACGTACGTGGATAAATTGTACGTACCAGTCAAGGATGTCTCCGCGATATTCGTAGCGACGATTACCTTTCGCCGACCGTCCGGGGTTGGTTCAAAGATCTTTGCCTGGAGGTCAGCAGGCATCTGCGAGTAGATCGGCAATACGGCAAGAGGTGCAGGGTCGTCAAGTTGCGACAATCGTTCTAGAAGAAGCTGATCAGGCGCCATATGATGAAAAAATAGGACATCGGTACGGACCTTGGACCACCTGGCATGTCACCTCAATATCCTCTTGACCAGTCATGAAGACGAGGATATCCCCTGGTGGGAGGGATAGGTGAATTTGCAGCACCTGCTTAACCGCGCTGTCGACGTAGTCCTCGCATGGAGACTTCGAGTGGAAAACCTCGACGGGGAACGTTCGACCAGGGATAGTGAATGTTGGGGCATTGCCATAGAAGTTGGAGAACTTCTCAGCGTTCATCGTAGCAGACGTGACGATTAATTTGAGATCTCTCCGCCTAGACAAGACTGTGGTGGGGTCAGCTTTACATATACGATGATGCTGTCATGCGAGACCTACTCTTCCGCAGGAGACCCATGAGCACGTCGGTACTCAGTGATCGCTCGTGCGCCTCATCAAGGATGATGACGCTATAGCGATCTAGGTCGCCCTCGTTCAGGGATTCACGCAGCAGTACGCCGTCCGTCATGTCTATGATCATAATCAGCCTCCTCAGTCAGCAGGCGCATCAAGACCACTCACACTTGATCTTCGTCTCTGGAGAGGTGCAATCCTCGAAACGGATTGCATAGCCGACAGTGGAGCCAAGCTTGCACTAAATGGTGACCACATGTTATAACTGGATCGTAGGGCAAGACGATGCAGGCTACTCACCTCCATCTCCTCGCTGACACGCTTGGCGACGGACATCGCAGCCACGCGACGAGGTTGTGTACATCCAATGAGACCGTACGCACAGTAGCCGTCTTCGTACAAGAACTGCGCCAGCTGGGTCGTCTTGCCAGATCCTGTCTCACCGACCACAACGATGACTACAGAGAGCAGTTATGATTGACGAGACCACACGCACAATGAGTCGGAAGCCGTACCTTGGTTCTCCCGAATGACCTTCATCAGTTCCTCGCGACAAGCGAAGGCAGGCAAGTATTCTCGCTGCTCCTTAAGCGTTCTCGAGCGAGCGAACACACTAACACCCTTTGAGCTCTTCAGATGCGAAGCGAATTTCGAGTCGCCCTTGTAGTCTTCCTCTTTCTCCTGTTTTGCCTTCTGTTCGGCGGCAGCTGCATGCGCGTCATCCCAAACACGGAATCGCCACCGCACACAACCCCGGACATAGAGAAACCAAGACTACGTGAATGTCCAATCCAACTACCGCTTGAAGGGCATGAGAAAGGCACTTACCCTCGGCTTCCATCTCCTCGTCTTTCACGCCCATGATGTTACCTAGCTGCGTACCGCCAAGAGCAGCAAGCTTGGCTGCGGCCTTCGCGCGCTCGGCTTGTTCGCGTTTCTCCCTGACAAGGGCGCTCCCCTTCCGGGCGAAGACGGCCATATCGCTCGTCGGGTCGCGGACGGGGTTGATAGGCTCGAGCTGCTTGGTGAAGACGGTACGGCCATCGAGGAAGGGTGGCTTGAGGTCGTGCACCATGACGTGTACGGTCGACTCGGACTCATCCTCGAAGTCGAGGTCAATCTCTTTACGGGTCGCCACCCCAGAGGTAACCATCCGGTTGGCCTCCCAGAGGTCGTTATCGGCATTCTAGCAGAGCCTTCATCAGCGGACACACAAAATGTGAATGCAAAGCGTACGCACATATTGCGCTTGGCGCGCCGAGATCTTCTTGACCTGCTTCTTTGCCATCTGCTCCTCTTTCGCCGCCGCGAGGTCGTCGTACTGCGCAAGCGGATTATAGTCCTCATCGCCCACAACTCCGCCCTCTTCTGCGCCCATGTACCAATCTCTGTCCAGACGCGTCTGCTCCTCCTCCCATTCTCGGGCATCTATACCTAACCCACCCTCGCCATCGGAGCCAGGCGATCCACCACGACGTGGCGTTGGCGCATCCCATCTCTTGTTGCGTGCAGAAGATCCGCCGGGCGACGAAGGCCGCCTTGGCGTGGCATCCCAGGAAGCATTTGGAATCCGAACGCTAGGCGCATCCTCCCCTCGACGACTGCGTTCTGAGCGTGGTGTGGCGTCCCATTCGCGGCGGTCGCGATCTCCACCTCTCCGTCTATCGTATGCTTGATCGCGGTTCAGTCGCCGCTGGAAGTCGCCAAGGCCGCGCGGCCCATCTCCACGAGGTTCGTTCTTCGCAGTTATGCCCTCTGAGAAACAAAGAGTAAACATCGGACCAATACACTTGCGTTCGACCGGCCTACCTCGTATCTTCCTGCGCTCCTCCAGCCGCTGACGTGCGACCTCCGACAATCCACCAGGATGAGATGGTGTCTCTTCGCCTCGCTGGCGCATATGCGAGGTCCGTGAAGCGGGAAGAGATGGGACTGGAACTGAGGTTATGGACCTGAACACGGTAGCCTGGCTACGATACGCACCTTTGAAGACCGGCTCATCTCCGTCTCCATCTAGTTTCGGTCTCTTCCGACTCCCTTCACCGTTCGCCTGAGCTGCAAGAGCGCGCTTCTCCTGAGCGAGCTTGTCGAGTCCGAGCACGGATGCACGCGGGGTAGGGGGATCAAGGGGCTTCGCTGGTTGACGGAATGCGTGTTTCTGGGGATGACATGTTAATCCATTTTGCCTTTGTGTAATCGACTCGGCATAACCTACCGCATCCTTGCGCATGAGACCACCCTGACGCACAGGTTCGGGTTCAAGGACATCACTATCGTGCACCACGATTCCTTGTACGGGTAGTTGCGGTTGTCCTGTGGCCTGCTGCTTCTCGTGCGACAAGATCTCTGCATGAAGTTCTGCAAGGAAGGAAGGCTTAAACTTGCCAAAAGACTTCGCCGCTACGAGGGAAGAGGTACGTTGGAACAGGGCCATCGCTTTGCCCAAGTGATCACTACGCACCTTCAATGAAGCCATCCACCGTGTTGTTCTTGGCTATGTCCTGGACGCGTCGAGCAAGTAAATCATTCGGATTGATGAGATTCATTACTCTTGAGAGCTGAATGGCAATGTGATGAATGAATTCATCGTCGCCTTTAGTCGGGGAGGCCATGGAGGACGAGGTGAAGGAGGGTTAGCTGCTCCGAAGCTGTCTCAGAGCACCGTCAGGTAGGAGTAGCAAGAAGCGCCAGTAGTGCCACCAGCCAAACTGGAGTAAACAACGGGTAGTATATGATGAGCGCTGTAAGGGTCTATTTCTCCTTACAATGTCACCACCGTCTCTGCCTTAGAGTCACTTGCTTCCCAATAATTCACATCAGGGGAACTTGCAGGCGCTCGCGGGGACGCAGAATATCCGTCTCGCACTTTCTCGTCGTCGCTCGGTGCCAGCTGTTTCGACCATCTTGTGACGAGACTAAGCGAGGGACACGTTTTCGATGTCCCTGTAGTCATCACATACATTCGTAGTACGACATTGTACCGCTAGACATGCTTCGTGTGGTCTGCTGTATGTTCTAATCACCACGTTGGAGGCCCTGATGGCAGCCGTGATTTTGCGAATATATTGTAACCGTTTCGTGTATCATGTCGACGGGCTATCTGTACCTCTATCGTTGTGCATTTCTCCCCTTTCATCCTCTCTAGCTCAGCTGCACCTTCGGAAACACACGATTCCAGTTCTCCGGTGTAATACGAGCTGAATGGGAAGCTTAGCAGTAGGGGATTTCGCCCAGGCGTCCTTTCAGCGACTTCAGCATGTCAAGGCCAAAAATTTCGCGTATGTCACTATGTGATTGTCGTTGGTCGCTCCGTAGATCGCTCACGCATAAAATTCAGGGGTGGACAGGTCAGCTCAAGTTAACTGTTGACGGAAGGTATTTTCGTGCCTGTTGGTGTGGGCGTTCGGCGGTAGAAAATTTGGAGGCACATACATAGTATATGGCAAGCCCAACGCAGATCTATGGTAGAAGCCATGACCCCTTCTCGCAAGGGGCTTCCCATTTGGTCTTGGGAATGTGAACGACATCCTAGATCGCTTGTTGTGTATACCATCACGCTCATGACATCGTCTCAAGTGCTCAAGGCACTCCAGCAACACGCGCCAAGCGAACTCCTTACTTACTCGACTCGCATGGTTTTCTTCCTCTCTCTTGACGTGTTCTGATGGTATCCTTATCTCCCAGATTGAACACGACAATAGCCGCGAGTTGGAGGCGATCTCAGAACTCCACGAAGTCCGTAATGACGGCATACCGTTCCTCAAACTTCCCGTCGAAATACTGCTCCGGATCCTCGAGTTCGTTCCCGACCTCTGCACCGACCGATACAAGGACTACACTTTCTTCTGGCGCACCACGATTCGTGACAGCTCTATGCTAATCCCTGTCTCCGGGACGTGCCGTCGTCTCCGTGAAGTAGCCCTCGCTTACCCTCGTCTCTGGAACACCGTCCAAATCTCCCGGAAGGACGACCCGCTCGTCGGGCTACTTGCTGAACGGAGCCAACACTTCCCCCTGAACGTGGTGAGCTCAGACCTCAGCGCCGTCGAAGGGCTCCCTCGGACGGCCCGAGTACGTTCGATGCACTTCGACGACATTGCCTGTGACGAATTCAGGCATTTGTGCAGCGTTGTCGAGGAGTACGCCTCCCCTGCGCTCGAGTCGTTCTCGCTCTCAGCAAGTGAGATGTACGAGTGGAACCTCGACGAAGACCCACTCCCTCTCACCCCAATCCAGGCTCCCAACCTCCGCCGCCTCGCCCTCGACACAATTCGAGCTTTGCCGGCCTGCGGCTTCCCGAATCTCACGCACCTCGCACTCATTGACGTCTGGCTCAGCCACGTGCATGATGGGATCATCCTCTTCATGAGCCAATGCCCGCGGCTGGAGAGCGTGGTGCTGGACGGTTTCGTGTTGGAAACGGCCGAGGAGGGCATCCCTGACAAACCCTCCCCACTCCCTCTGGCGCACCTCAGACACGTCATCTTGCACCAGTTCTCCCCAACCGCGCTCAAGTACTACACGACGCTCCTCCAGCCCCGCGTCTCAGGGTCGTCTGTCCAGGTGCTAGGTTCGTATCAGGCGGATGACATCTCTATTGCCATCCTCTTCCCATCCCGGGGCCCTCAACCGAATGATTCGAAAAGTATTATCCGCCTATGCGTCGGCGTCCATCCCGACGGCGAAGGCGAGTACAACAGCGGAAGCCACTCTGTCTCTATCACTACGGTCACGCCCACCTCCACCCGTCGCATCGCTGCTTATGACATCTCGCTTGAGACAAACGGCATCCCCTCAAATGCATGGCCGCACGACATACTCTCGAACACTTCGCGCTCTAGGCTGGAGGACGTGCAAGAGGTGTGGCTCTATGGCGTCGGCTTCGGCTCCTCGTACCCCTGGACAGATCCGAGTCACGCCCTCTCGCCTCTGCAACACTGCTCAAACGCGAAAATCATGGTCGTAGTCGTTGATCTCTCATTCCACTATGACAACGAGCCGAGTCTGTGCCTCCTGCCTTCCACACGGGAGACAGCCTCAGGGTCGGGAGCGGAGATTAGAGGCGTAACGACTCTGCGCCTCGTGCACGGGTGTAGCCACCACGACACGTTTTGCCAGCCCCCAGAGAGGCACAGGCGTCGTGCGGGATCGCACAAGGTCCCACTAGGCCGCTTAATTGAGGACGTCGGGTCGGGGGAGTACAGCTACCTGGAGCAGTTCGTGTTGCAGGTGACGCCACATATGCACGTCGACCCAGAGGAATTGGAGAGGTTGCGAGCGTGCTTTCAGGGCTTCACATTCGAGCGCGTTGAAGAGTTTCCGGCGATGCCTGGGCACACGGACCCGGCTCGCTGGGGATGCGAGCGGTGGCCTGGTTCACTGTGGTGAGACTGCTGTGGTTCGTGATTGTTGTGCAACCCGAACCCAGTGGTCTTCAGTACTAGTGTACCACTCCTGTAGGCTACTCTTGACGATTGGCTGTTTCCTTCTCAAAAGTACAGGTCCTATTCCTTGACAATTTCGAAATACAACGCGTATAGTTACATCCAGGGGCGAGGGGCCAAAATCAATACATATTACACACTAGATGCTTTGTCAGTACAATCTGTGGCCAGGTGTAATAGACTAGGGCGGCACTCACTCGTCGTCTGGCAACGATGATTAGGAGTCGTGAACATTATGAGATCGAGCACGATCAAGTTGAGCGCGGATCTTAGGGTACATACCATGGAAGTCCCACTGCGTCTGCAATGCAAGAGCATAAGCAGCGGTGAGTATTGAGCAGGCCAGTGCATACCTTCTTAGGGTTCTCAGGTGCACGGGAAACGTACCGGTCGTTATCTGGAGGACTGGTAGACGATGACTGGATATGCATATCCTCGAAGTAGGGACCTCTAAGGAATTACTCACCGCTCCTTCTTCTGCTCCCGGAAGATGTATCACATTGAGAAACCGCGAAGTTGAGTCGGAGACGCAACGCACCTTGCAGGAAGCGAGCATGCTCTGAATGGTCACGCAGACCGACACAACACTCAAGACCGGAGACCATTCAGTCGAGAGAATGGAGGCGCATATCTACATGAAACGCGCAGGCAGCGTCAGCGTTTTCTTCTTCATTCCTTAGGGGCAAAGAACGTGCGTGTCCGTTTGAGTACACGTGCTGCGGAAGGTGACCAACGCGCAGCGTCGTTAGTGCAAGAGAACATGCTAAGGCTAGATTGAAGGACTCACGGGATGAATGGGGGCTTGGTACTGGCCATCCACCACAAACTGGACTGCAGGAGCAGATATAGGGTACTGGTTGTCAAAACGGAACTTCAGAGCAAACTTTTCGCCCTATATGAATTGACATCGGTACCGTAACCATGAATGAAGTGGCACGCGGCAGGGATGAAAGTGGCGTACCTCGTAGACCGTGTTCCCGAGCACCTCTACAGATAGATACCAAGTGGCAAAGTTGTCCGCACTCAAGAGCTCGATACCTGTAAGATAGAATGTAGGCCTGTGTTTTCTCCTGTTTTGTTGACTGGGACTTACCAACCGGCGTACCATCCCTCTTGATATCCGTAAGTTCCTTCTGCAGTCGTCGCGTGGAGACTGCCATTGATGTTCCTCGGGGTCAAGTACAACGATAGGAGCCGTGGAAGGCCGGAAGCAAAGATCGAGGGTGTGATATGTTGGTGAGCTGAGGCAGCTACGGTAGAGCTGACGAGGAAGTACAGTAATGCGGTAGAGATATCAAGCAGGACTTGGTCGGTGGCGACCAGTGATGTGCCGGTCGACACCGGATTGTCGTCGACTTTTGTCGACTTGTCAACTGATGACGAAGGCTACAGGTGCACAAAAGCGCACGTCAACTTTCGCACAGGGCGGTCTACCTGTGCAGGCGCCCAGGCACTGTATATGATTGGGCGACGCGCTATCGCGAACGCGTTCAATCGACATATTGGGATTACTCTGTCGATTTTGCTGCAACTCTTGGACTCCCGCCATCGATGGGCTCTAGCTTACTCCCCCTTCATGTAGTGCTCTGTATACCTCGTAGCTCATGAATATGTCCTGCATACAACCATAACGGCGGCATACACTGAGGCTCAAAAATCTGCGGAAAGCGAGGCAGCGGCTAGATGTCTAGCTACCGAACGTGAGTAGTGATATTGAATATAGAGCCGGTGAGCGTCTCACATTATTTACAGGCTCAACAAAGCATATGGGCTCCCTGGGAGGTACTCCATTG